TAGGCATGCACCTGGACAATCACAGGCCCCAGGCTCAGAAAGGCTCCATGCTTAGTTTGGCGCTGTGCTGTCCCACCTTGAAATTCTTGCTAACTCTTGAACGAGGGGCCGGGCATTTATATTTTGCACACACAGAGGAGGGCAAGCTGCCCACACTGACCCAGAGACTGTAGCGGAGCCAGATTCAAACGCAGCCCCCACGCTAAGCCCCCCGCATCCCTTCTGCCTGGGTTTTGTGGGGAGGCAGCCTGCAGGACCCCCGGAATGGCCTTGCAGACCCAGAGCCACACCCTCACTCCTTCGCCCCATTCTTGGGGTTTCCTGGGCATTTCCTTCTGAAAAGCCTGAAGTGGGTGCTCCTTTAGAAAGCTCGTGCACACTCCCCGGCCCAGCTAACTAGTTTCCCAAGCTGGGCCCAGCTCCTCGCTGCTCCCCAAGGCCCCAGAGGCTCAGGCAGCCTTCCAGCAAGTCCTCGCTCATTCCCTGAGTAAAGAGAAGTGAAGAGACCTAATTGGGAGCAGTTTATGATATCACCGAGGCACTTAGGAGTTATTAACACCTTTTATGAACCCATTGTTTAAAAGCCTGCCATGCTTAATCATTTTAGCACCATCAAATCCGTATTAACAACCACCCCACTTGCACTCCGAAATGTCACCGTTTGATAACGCTCATGAAACGCAATGCCTTGGAAAATCTGGGCTGGGCAGGGGAGCTCCCAGCTTCCCTGCAAATGCACCCTCAGTTTGGGAGGCCCTGAATTAAAGGGGGGGGGTCGCTCCTACCTGCGGCCCAGAATCTGCCGCCTCCCGGCCACTCACCCATCACTAGAGCAGGTCTAGGGTCCTGCCCAAGACCTTCCTGAGAGGTCGCCGTGAGCCCACTGGAAGAACGCCCTGGGTGGCAGGCCTGAGAGGGGCCTGCGACCAAGTAAGTAGTGACAGGGACTGTGTCAACTGAGTCACGTTTTATTCTTTTCCATGTTTGTCAAACAACAGAGACATTAGTAAAATAGGAAGTGTTTGCCCTTCTCCCCCACACTGAATCCCAGCTCTGCTACTTGAAAGCTGTGTGACCTTAGGCAAGTGACTTCACCTCTCTGTGCCTTGCTTGTCTTGTCTGTAAAAGGAACATCATTCTAGCACCAACCTCAAAAGTGAGCGAATCTGGCAGGTGGGGGGAGGAGGGGGTCCTGATAGAAGCTGGCAGAAGATCTGACTTCAGGTAGTGGGCACACCATGCAATATGCAGATCTTGTAACATAGAAACCCACCCCTGCAACCTGTACGTTCATGTTGACCAATGTCACCCCAGTCAGTTTAATTAATAAATGTATATTTTTTAAAGTGCGAGAATGTGTGCATGCAACATAGTGCTTAGCAACTAGTTAACGCTCCCTCAAGTCTATTACCTCTCAGCTTCCAGCGGGAACAGTCACAGCAGAGCGGGGTGCGCCCTTTCAGACTTTTGTGCACCTGTAAAACCCATCTGCACGCATGTTCCCACGGTTTTGTTTGTCTCCCATTGTTCCTCACAAAGCAGAAAGCACGCTGTCGATGCTGGCGTCCCCGCTGCTGCCAGTGTTTTTCTCAGGCAGCAGTGAGTGAGGAGAGCCTTCCGCCACGGTGCGTACTGATGTAGCGAAATTTTTTCAGAAAAGGGTCAAACAGTAAATATCTTAGGCTTCGTGGGCCATCTGGTCTCTGCCGCAACTACTCAACTCTGCCCTTGCAGCTTGAAAGCAGCCAGAGACAAAATGTAAACAAAATGGCTTGTTCCAATCAAACGTTACCTACAAAAGCAAGCAGCGGGCCGCACTTCCCAGCCCAGCTCTAGCGCCGCCCTGGCGGGCAGCTCCTGGTGTCCGTGCAGCTGTACCATTAACTGCCCAGGTCCTGGCCACAGGGCATTTAGATTGGCTCCCAAGTGGTGCTTCCAGGTCTCACACCAGGTGCCCGGGCACTTGAGCCAGGGGACCCAGTCCTCCCGCTGGGATTGCCAGGGGATGGGAGAGGTGCCCCTTGAATGTTACCAAGCCGTGCTTTATTTTTATTTTATTTATTTTTTAAATTTATTTTAGGCTTCACCGAGCACTGGATGGTGGGTAAGGGTTAGAACAGAGCCCCAGGCAGGGTGAACAGTGTTAGCCACCACCATGCTATCACCATTCTCCACTTCCCAGCAGGTCCCCAAGTCCCCAAAACACCTTCCCTACAGCAAATCCAAACTGGACCCCCAGTGCCTCCGGGGCTGGCTGACAGCAGTCCTCGGACTTTCCAATCACTCACTCCTCAGCAGCTCCAGAGGTGCGTCCAGTTACTGTCCCCATTCTAGAGATGAGGAGACTGAGGCAGCAAGAGGTTTAGGGATGTGTCCTAGGTGAAACTGTGGGTGAAAGGAAGAGCCCATATTCACCTTCATGCCCTTGATTCTCGAACCCCCAGTTACACAAAGGGTGGTACGTATGGGTGTCCTCTGAAAACCAGACACAACCTGTGTGTCCACCCTTCGGGGATTGCATCCAGTCGCTCGTGCTCCGCCGCCGCGAAGACGATAAATCCGCACTCAGGATGGGGTGGTGACAGGCGAGAGGGCAGAGCGAGGCGCTGAGCAGCCCCCGCGGGGATTCTATTTTTGCTTCAATATCTATTTAAATATACATGTACATCCCCCCATGTGTGCAAATATGCACAGAAATGAAACTGGAAGGAAAAGCATCCAAATGTTAGAAGTAGTGTTTATGGGCAGTCATATTCTGTATTCTTTCCACTTGTAATTTTCTTGTTTTTTCTATTTTGCCATGAGCCCGGGTTGTTTTTATAACTGGGGGCGGGTGGAGATGTAAAAAGTGATTTGGCTGTTTTTCATTTGGAAAACTGTGCAGTTTGCTTTCTCTAGGTGCAGGGAAATCACAGCCCTATTGCTATTCCTGCACCTGCTCTGGCGTATGGAGGAACCGCTGTTTATTTCACCGTCCCCTGGTGGCAGCGAAGGAGGCGGGTGTCACCCTGTGACCACATTCTGTTGAAGGACCCCCATCTGCCCAGTAGACTCCCCTAGACTCTGCTCTTTCTACTGCTTTGAAGAAGGAAGCAGCCGCGAGCCCCATGTGAGCCACAGGGAACCTATTCTCCCAATAGCCTGAGGGGCCTTGTTGCTGATTCTTTTCCAGCCCCACACCTGGCATCCAGGTGAGACCACAGCCCCATCCGCACCCGGATCTCAGCCAGGTGAACCCTTGAAGCAGAGGTCAGGCTCCGGGCCCATAGAAACTTCAAGATAACACATGTCTATAATTTAAGCTGCTCAGTTTATGGTAATTTGTTACGCAGCGATAGCTAACTATAACAAGCTCATCCGTTCATTCATCCAACTCAGCTCTGCTAGACAGGCTGCGGGTTTAGCAAATAAACACACACAGCCCCAGTCAGGTTTGGATTTCAGTCGCATTCAGGTCATACTTCAATTCTTCATTGTTGGATTGAAATTCAAATTTAAGTGGGTGTCCTTTTTCCATCGGCGGCTCCACTGCTAGACCTCATGGAAAAGAGGCTGAGCTGAGACCTTGGGCAAATCCTTGCCTTCTGCTGGAGAGGCCTGCATGGCAGACCCGGGGACGCCCTGAAAACAGCCCTGCAAGGCCAGCTTGGGAAAGACAGGAGCCAAATCCTAAACTCCTCTTTTGTAACCAAGTTTTCAGCACCAAGTCACCGTCCCTCAGCTGAAGCACCCTGCATTTGGTTGCCTGGGCCAGAACACACCCAGACACGGCAAGGAAGTGGGGCCTGGAGCCCTCACACGTAGTGCTCTTCTGGTTAACGAAACAAAGTCGTCCATCCTCTGAGCTCCGCTGGGGGCCTGTGACTGCAGTTGATGGCACCAAGTTACAAAGGTAAGTAAGAGAGTCTCATTCCTCAAGGGGATGAGGGGCCAGTAGGAGACAGGAGGAAGGGAGGGAAGGAGGGGGGTGGGGGAGAGAGAGAGAGAGAGAGAGAGAGAGAGAGAGAGAGAGAGAGAGATTTGTGATTTTTAGAGAGAGTGGAAGGGAAGAGAGAGGGTGAGAGAGAGAGGGGGGGGTAGAGAGAGAGAGAGAGAGAGAGAGAGAGAGAGAGAGAGAGATTTGTGCAAAAATGTTCATACCAGCAATATTCTGGATGGCCAAAGAGTGGAAGCAGCCCAACCGCCCTCCGCAGGAGGCTGGGTAAACAGGCCGGTAGGGCCACACCTAAGAGCACCACCGAGCCCTAAAGGAACAAGCTGCCACACACAGGAGAACAGGGCGAATGTGAGCGAGGAAGCCAGATGCAGACAAAGGACACATTGTCTGACCCATGTGTGCAAAGTTCCCGAACCAGCAGCTTCTTCCTCGTCTTAGGAAACAGGGTGGGGGCGGCCTCTGAGGGGGGGTGGGGGCCAGCGACCAGCAGGGCACAGAGGCTTCCGCTGGTCATGCCGCTTCTCGGCCTGGCTGCTGGCAACACAGGTGTGTGCGTGCTCGCTTCGTGGTCAGTTGTGATCGGTGCCCTTCTCTGTGTGCCTGCCATATTTCAATAAATAGTCGCATCGTAAAAAAGAGGTAGGTTTATCACAGGCGAATGGGTGAGCAAGCTGGTGGGTCCATGCCGGAGAATGCCACCCAGAAATAAATGCCACACACAACACGCACAAACCTCACAACAATCATATTGAGTGAAAAAAGCCAGACGGAAAAAAGCATGGACTGTGCGAATCCATTTATATCAAACTCTAGAACACGTAAAGCCATCTGCAGTGACAGAGCAGATTGGCGGTTGCTGTGAGGGAGGCGGAGGGAGATGACCAGGGGACACAGGGCGTCTGGGGCGACGAGACGTGTAGTCTCTCGACTGTGAGGATGGCTTCACCCATGTGCACGTAAGTCACACCTGACCACATCACCCACATTAAGTATGTGTGTCAACACCTCAGTAACACTATCTTTAAATGTAAGGGCTGAGCCCCAGGATTGGCCCCTGGCCGGGATGTGGGCGGTGAGGGACATCAAGGAGGTGTCAGAGCAACCCCAGCCTCGGGAACAAGGAACCTGCATCACGGTCGTCATTTATGCCCATGCCACCCCAGCTTCTGGAAGGCAGTGCCTGGGCCTGCGTTTGGGCACCATTGTCCCCCTGGTACTCAGCACAGGGCCAGGCACCAAGAAGGACCCGGCTGTGAGCTAAGTGCCGGCCCCAGGAGAAAGGTTCTCTTCTAAAGATGATGTAGGCTGCAGGGCCTGGCCCCACCGCCCAGTGTGCTTGCTGTGTAGCAGTCCCCACCCCAGTTCTGGGGCAGAGAGCGGGAGAAAGCGGGAGGCCTGGCTTGTATCACAAAGGCCCCACAATATCCCCCGGAGAAGAAGAGCAGTGGGCGTTTGCCCCACGTGCTACCGTTGCCAGCCTCGGCTCCATCAGTGCCTGCAACTCCTTAACCAGGTCAGTGCTAATACTACATCCATTTTACAGGTGAGGAAACTGAGGCATGATGGTTAAGAACCTGAACTCGAGAGCCATGGTTCCCATCTTGGAGTGATTTTGCCCCCTAGTTAGGGCTGGCAGAGTTCGCAGATAAAAATACAAGACACAAAGTTAAATTTGAATTTCAATAAACAATGAAACAGTTTTTTACTATAAATATGTCTCAAATATTGTATTTAGTATAGTTTGGGAAATAATTATACTAAAATGATTCGTTGTTCATCTGACATCCACATGGAACGGGGTGTCCTGTATTTATCAGGCAACCCTACTCCCAGCAGGTGTGTGGGGATGTGCGGGGTTGTCTCCGGCCGGGGACAGCGCCACTCGCCTCTAGGAGGGACTAGGGACCACGGATGCTGCTGAGTATGACAGCTCCCAAGACAGAGAGTCATCTGTCCCCAAATGTCAATAGTGACACCATTGAGAGATCCTGACCCAGAGCAAGACTTGGGGGTGAAACTCAGGACCTGCCCTGTGGGGTGAGAGGCAGACCTGGGTGTCACGCCTCATCTGGGGAGCTCACAGTAGGAACAGCAAGCACACCCCCGCCCCCGTTCCGAAAGGGCAGCCCCTCCCCGCACGCCCTGAAAGCGTGTGTATCTGGTGGTCTCATTGGTCAGGAGAGTGTAAAATGACACAGAGGGATGGAGAGTAAATAAAAAACCAGAGAGGCCCAGACTGGCCGTCTGATGGCTTCAGCATGGAGATTTGGTACAGCTTGCTCTCGGCACCCTGGTTTCCGTGGATACCCTGGCCACGCATTAGCTGTCTCAGGCCAAAAACAAAAGATTTTCGAGAAGGAAGTCACAGGATATTGCTGCTGCTTTAAAAAATCGGACCCCCGGGCTCCAGGACAGATGAGGGCTTAGCTCTCTCTTCCTCCTGTCACAGGACGGTGCAGGGGCTGACAGGGTGGACCCCAGGGCCAGAAGGGTCTGAATTCAAATCCAGGCCCCATAGTAACCGGGCAGGTTTAAGTACGTTATAACTTCCTCCCCACGCCTCGGGGAAGACGTTCCCACTGCAGAACTGTTGGCACCGAGTGAGGCCCAACAGGTGGGAGCTGCTTCCCAGGATGCCAGAATCTGAGGGCAATGGGCACCTGAGTCCCCCTGGCAGCCCTGTCTGAAAAAAATCAACAGCCGGAAACCACCTGGATCAATCAGGTAATCAAAGGTGAAGGGTGCTCGAGATGGCCACCTGTGCTGCAGAGCAAAAGGAACAAAGCACTTTGCCCGCAGCGAGGACCAGCCTCCGGCTTAGCAGTGAGTGCAACAGGAAGTCCAGGGGAGAGCCGGCAGCTGAGTGGCAGGTGGCAGGGCGGGTCTGTGAACCCAGACCCCCCAGGGAGCTGCAGAGACACAGACCACACCGGCAGGTGCCTTTCCCTGGGCCCAGCCGGAAACTCCCCTCTCCGTGGGCTCCCGGCAGACTCCAGCCAGCCAGGGAGGTTCCGGGGTTCCAGAGGACGGTGCAGGGTCAGGGGCCCCTGGTGGGGAGCAGAGTCTGCTTAGTGTGGTGGGATGTGTGCAGTCATATGGGACTCTGCCCTTAAAGGGGACCTGAGCTCTGCTGTTGTCACCTGGACACTCAATGGTTTTGAGCTACGTTTTTAGTTTGCACGAATGACGTGGCTTGTCTTGAATGGAAAGCCATGATGTTTAGCTTGCTCCTCAATTTCTGAAGCACAGTTATGCTGCCGGGAGCATGAAGTTATGGACTCTATGAAGCAGGTGGACCGCAGCTTGATGTAAAAAGAAAAAAAAACAAAACCCCCCACAACTTCCTGTCAGTGACAATGGAAACACCTGTGCAGGTGGCCACAGGCCACCTTAGTAGTTGCTGGTTTAGACGGCCGGCTCCATGAGGCAGGAATGGGCCTGTCGTGCCCACCAGTGTACCCCCATCCTAGCCTAGCGGGGGCCTGGTATGTCCCAGTGGCATACTCACCACTCTGACCTCTCTGCCCTAGCTGTGCCCTGCCCACATGATTCCTGTGCCCTCCCTCCTCTCTTGCTTCCCAGTAGCACAGGCCTGGCTGGAGTTTCTGGGTGAGTGCTGGCTGGAGAAGTGCAGTGGTGGTTCAGACCAAGGGCTCTGGAAACAGACAGGCCTGGTGTGACTCTAGCAGCCCCACCACCTTCGAGCCACAGAAAAGTTACCTGGCCTCCCTCTGCCTCCGTTTCCACATTTGTAAAACGGGAATAATGACAGCACCTAACTTGTTTTTGTGTGAATATCGAATTAGAGAAGAAAGGCGTGATTTTTTGAATATTAAGTTTTATAAGATGTCATTTTGTATTAATTAGTATGTGCTAAGACTTGGTCTTTGAGATAATTTGCCCGTGGTTACTCAGATAGAAGGGTGGCATTCACAGCGTCTGTCCTGGATTCTGTTATCCCTCCGGACCCTGCCTGGCACAGAGTAGATGCTCAGTGAACGTCCGGCGAATGGACGGGTTCCGTCATCAGAAGATGCTGTAAGACGTTTCCACATTTGTAAAACGGGAATAATGACAGCACCTAACTTGTTTTTGTGTGAATATCGAATTAGAGAAGAAAGGCGTGATTTTTTGAATATTAAGTTTTATAGGACGTCATTTTGTATTAGTATGTGCTAAGACTTGGTCTTTGAGATAATTATGCAACAAGTATATATAGAGCATGAACCATGGGGCAGATCCTTCACAAGGCACGATGTACCCCCCCTCTTCGCCCCCCATCACCTCCTCCCCTGCGGACCTCAGGGAGGGGAGGTTGAGTAGGAACTAAGGTGGAGCAGAGGTGTGTGTGCGTGCGGGGGTGGGGGCGGGGGAAAAAAAAGCGGAGGCCAGCCCAGAGGCCGGGCCGCCGCGGCCACGCCCCCCCGCCACCACGTGGATTTAAAACCCACGCTGCCCCCGGGCTCCTGCCCCTCTCCCGTCATTGGGCGAAGCCGCCCGCACTTGTGTCCAATCAAATAGCGGCTCCCGGAATCCGAACTTGGGATTGGCCGGTCCGCTGTGTCATTTCGGGCTGCCCGTGATGTCAGACGCGTCTGGCACCCCCGCCCCTCTGTGTCTTGACTGGAGTTAAAGGAACCACAGGACGACGTGGGCGGGTGTCGCTTCAGAGGCGCTTTTCAGGAACCTTTAAAACTTTTAAATTAACGTTCATTGCAGAAAATACAGCAAACGGTATAAGAGAAATGTACATCCCACAAAACTAACTCCTGTTAACATTTGGCATATATCACTTCAGTCTTTTTAAATATAATTTTATTCGTACAAAATTGGGATCAGGTCTGCAGCCTATTTTAAACTTTATAAAGGACTTTTCTCTCTCCCACCAAATAATCTGTGAAAGCATCCTTTTTAACGGCCGGATTGTCTTTCGCTTTTTTTGTTTACCCGCCCCCCCCCCCTTCCATTAATTTTATTGCCTTTTTGCTTTCAAAAATGAAGATAGGATCAATATTTTTGTCCTTAATACTCAGTTCTCATTATTTCCTGGAAATGTGTTGTAGAAAGGGAACTAGAGGGTGAGGACACTCACACTTTAAGGGCCTCATTCCCACTGCAAAATGGTCCTGCATTCCTTCAGCAGATGTGCATTCAGTCGCTGATGCCCCTGAGCTGTGGGTCCCCAGGGCCCTTTCAACAGGGCAGTGACATTTCATCACCTTTGAGGTTGGTTCCCAAGCCCCATAAGGGCACAGGGCACCCTGTGCAGAGGGGAGCGGACCATATCTCTAACTCTGGCTGGGGACTGGACATGATGGCAAGGTGTTTTCTGTGTGCCACTCCCTGGTAGGGACTGATGGGGCATCATGGCTGAGAGTCAGGAATAGGAACAGGCTTCTAGCTCAACTCTGCCTTCACCAGCGGCTTGACCTTGGCTAAGCCTTGTCCCTGACTGGGCCTCAGTCTACCCATCTGTCAGAAGACAGGATTTGGCTCTAATGTTTCCACTGTCCTCTCCTTCTGCCTACCCCTCATCTCTCTGCCTCGGTCCCAAAGCCCTGTGTTCTCTGTGGAAACCAGTTCCCTGCTGGCAATGAGAAGCTGGAGGGGAGAGAAGAAGATGGCTCCCGTGGGAGGGCGGGGGTATGGGCGTGTGACCGTGTGGCAGAGCTTGTCTGGTGCTGCTGGAGAGCTCAACCATGTGGCCTTTGTCCAAGAGCTAAGCTGTGTCAACACCTAAACACGCAGAGACAACCAACAAAACGCACAATGCACATATACCCCCCCACAGCACGAGTACATATACACCCCACATATATATGCAACACACATATGGGCACCCATGGACCCTCAACACACAGAGTATACACACACACACACGAATCAACTTCATGGTTAAGTCTGTCTGGCTCTGCTCTGGTACCAGGCAAGTACCTGTTCTTGGTAGGTGCTGGCCCAGGTGCCTGGCTTGCCAATACTTTCTTAGAAGCTTGTCATTAGGTGGGCATTCAAGGGACAGGACAAAAGGAGATGTATGGGGGTGGAGGGAGTGAGCAAGCAAGGAAGACAGAATTATCAGCAATTAAGGTAGCCCCAAATGCTCATGTGAGTGGGTGCTGCTCATTTACTCCCCTGAGGTTTGCCGAGCACCCACGGTACAGCAGCCCCTGATCATCCCACCCACTGGGATGCACTGGGACAAGCCAGGCTGTCTTGGCCCTTGGGGTTGCCAATAAAAGGCAGACAGACAGTGAACACACACACACACACTGTGCAATTCTGTTTCCACCCCCATTTGGCATGGAGGAGATTCAGGATTGTCCAGGCAAAGTGATCGGCTAAAGTCACTCACACAAGATTCTGATACCAGTTTCCTCTCTGAGTTGGTCTCCACCTGAGCCCACTTCCATCTGACCCCTCCCTGCAAAGGTCAGCTGGGAACCTCCAGGAAGCCCAGGGCCAGTGTTGCCTGAGGCCAGCAGACCCCAGCAGAGGTGAGGAGAACAGAATAAGTACCAGCAGTCACATGCCACTCCACCTCACTCATGCCTCAGTGTCCCCGTCTGTCACATGGGCTGTGGTGGGGATGCACTGAGGTACTGTGGACTGGCTATAGGACCTGAGGCATATATGTTGGATGATGAAGCTGACCAATATGCGAATATGCAGGGCCTAGGGCAGGGCCTGCCACCCAGGCAGCATCCAATGAGCATTAGCCCTTGTTACTGATTAAAAGCAAAACCAGACAGAAAAAAAATAAAACATGAAGTCCAGAGATGCAAATCTGGGACCGTTGACAGGCCGACTGAACCACAGGCAGGACTTGGGTGGGGAAACGAGTCAGCTGGCCCGACTTCCAGCGCTGGGAAGTCAGCAGGAGAGGTCCCTAAACCCTAGGGCGGGGACTGCTTCTGAAACAGCAGCTCTGTCCTCAGGCCTGGGGCTGCAGGAGGTGAGGGGACACGGCTGGCCCTGGGGAGGCTGGGATCTGCTTTGTCCCACTGCCGCCCTTTGTTGACGCAGCCCAGCACTTTCCACAGTGCCCAGCAGGCGCAGTCCGACGTGGCCAGCCACCCCCAGCAGGGGCCAAAACCCATGCTGGCTTCCCCAGCTTCCTGCTGCCAGGCTGCCAACGAGGGCCGGCATCCCAGTAGGACTGACTACAGGATCTGCAAGTCCCCTTGTTAAAAAATGATTAATTATTAAGAATTTCAAGATGGTGACAGTAGAGCATTAAAGAGAGCACAGGGCGCGGTACCTGCACCAGCTGGCCTTGCCCCCAGCCCGGCCAGGCCTCCTGACTGGCTGAGACTGGACTTTCTCTCTCTAAAGGCCCCCCTGTGGCAGATCCAACCCACACTCAGGGCAGACAGGGCACGTGCTGTCTGGAGGCCCAGAAAGGCGTGTCCCCAGCAGTCGTCTGGGGACACATGCGCTTTTCACAATCCCATGGCCCGTAACCAACCTGGTTGGGCAATGTGTCCCCAATCCCAGACTTCCTGGGACCCTGAGGATTCCTTCATTCCTCCTCCACCAAGGGCTTTGTCCTGGGCACCTTGGCATGAGACTCCCTCTCCGCTGTCCCACCTCCCGAGAGAGGCCACCCTGACCCGTTGGGCTCCAGCTAGGTCCAGCCAGGGCCCTTTGTATTCTTCCCAGCTCTTGTCCCTCCCTGAAGCCATCACTTGGACTTACGTGTTTACAGACCCACAGGAATGAGTCCCAGGAGGACAGGGAATTGTCCTGCCCCAGACAGATGCTCCGTAAATATGAGTGGAATAAAACACCTCTTCAGGTGTTTCCTGATCCCCACCCCCCAGGCCTCTAGCTCATCGTCGCCGTATCTGAAGTGACCTAGTGTAGCTACCAGTTTGCATGGGGGCTTATAGTCTCCCCTGCCCCCCACAGTGCCCATGAGGACAGGTGCCCAGTGGCCAGCACGAACCCTGGCCCTGAATGGGGAGCATAATATTTACAGACAGAATGAAGGAAACTTCTTTTTCTGATGTGTGGCTTCCCTCCCATATGGGCTCAGGCTGGCTCAGCAGAGGTGGGCCAACACCCGTACTTCCCCAACACCCCAACCCCCTTAGAGTGAGGCTCTCCCATCGGGGCCAGTAACACCTCCTCCTGTGCCTGGCCTGACGGTGGGTGTGCCCCTGCATCGCTGATCCCTAGCACCACACAGGGCGGTGCCCGGCACAGGTCTTTGGAGATACAGTTGTGACCACCGTGCCTGACACCCTGTGTTAGGCCTCCGGGCAGAACCAACTTTGGAACCAGGGCTGAGACCATTAACCAGTTCCAGGTGCCACCATCAGAACAGTGGTGTCACATTGTAGGTACTCAGTAAATATGGCCAGTGCTCTTCCCAGGCCCATCGACCAGAGCTCTATGTGGGTAGGGTTTGGGGGCGGGGGGGGGGGGGGTTTTAATCTACTAAATTCACTGGTTATTTTCGCCTGCTGACGGTTTAACCTGGATTGCCTCATTTCCCAGACGATCGATGTGTGTGTGTTTCCGCTTACCAGACAGGACAGATGTCTGCGAGGGACTTGGAGGAGGGCAGGGGTTTTGCCTGGCATGGCTGAGTTCCCAGCACTCAGGGCTGAGCTCAGGGAAAGTTTGTTGGTTGAATGAATGGCAGAATGGCTGAAAGGAGGGGCTGTGGTGGAGGTCTCCTTTGGCCTCAGAAATGAGTGGGGTCCAGGGTCAGCCCCAGGCCCAGCCAACATTTTCCGGGTCCCCCCTCCTTCAGCTTTTCTCCAAGCTGCGGAGGCCAAATTGCAGCAAACCTATCCCCTGCCCCTCTGTGGACCAGCAGGCGAAGTTGACCCCTCCTCAAGGTGGGGGCTGAGTCTGCCCTCAGTGCTCTCCCCATCCTGGCCTTGGGCTCGGACTTCTCCAAACTAGCCATGGTGAGTGCCTTTGACCTCTGCTGTACCGGCACTTGCGGCTCCGCTAGAAAGCTCCCGCCAGTCCATCACCCCTCCAAACTTTCCTGCTCATCCTGATAAGAGAGCAAGAGGCATCCTGGGGAGCAGTGCAGGGAGAGAACTCGCCCACTTCCCCGGCCCCTGCAACACTGTTGGTTCCAGTCTGTGGGAAGGAAATAACTTTTAGAACCCTTTCCCCTTTCCACCCCCCAACACAAAAATAATCTCTGCTCATTACTGACACTCCAGGCATTACAGAGGCGTGTGGCTATTTAAAGAATTAGATGTGTGTGTGTTTTGGCCCGGGGAGGGGTGGTGGGGGGGGAGAGTTTGGAGGGGGGAGGTGAGGGGGCAGGTGCCCCAAGGCCTGGGTCCAGCTCAGGCTCCACCATTGTGTGAACTTAAATTAAGCCACGGACTCCAGGTCAGTTTCCGGCCTGTGAAATGGGATAACAGCCCTGCCTCCCCAGAAAGTGCCAGGTTGAGTTCATGTTGGGTAAGTTTCTGGCACGGGGTAGGCCCTCCATGTAAAATAGACTTAGGGAAGCGTCTAGGAGGGGTCACCCCAAATTGCCAAAAGGTGTGGGGGGCCTCTTACATAATATTTCAACATTTTTTTACACCACGAGAAGGTGTTCCTGGCACTTGAGTAATTAAAACTTAATGAAACAGAAGCACCTCTGCGTCTCTGCCGGGCATCCCCACAGCCGGCGGCCCCCGGGGCGGCAGACAATGGGTGTGGATTCGCCCGGGCCCCTGCGGGCGGGCACTTCACACCGGTCCCCGACTCATATTTACCTGACAAGGGCGCTGGGGCATTTACCGGAGCCGCCCAGGGCGTGTCTACGGGATCCCGTTTCCCAGCCGACCTCCGTGGGATCGGGTTAAAGTGCGCCGGGGGCGAAGTGGGCGGGGGGCCTCGTGGGGCTGCAAACCTGGAGGTGGGAGTTTCCTGCGAAATCAGGGTGGTCTGGAATGCTCCCCCTTCTCTAATTGCCCTGCCCTGAGCCCCAGGAACCTCATGCTCCTTCGGGGGACCCAGGCTTCCTCCCAAACTCCAAGTCAAGAACTCGCGGGGCCAAGGAATGCACCCCGGGCCGGGGTGTGCGGGGCAGGGGTCCCCAACTGACCCCGTGGGAAAGGTGATCGAACGCCCCTCAGCTGCGCGGGTCCCGGTTCTTTGCGGGCTGCCTCACTCTGGCCCTTTAAGAACCCGCCCCCTTCCCCGTCACCCCGCCCCGCGGCCCGGGGAGGGGATGCGGGGGA